TCTCTCCTCTCACCTTAAAAATGTGTTCCCTAGTTTTGAAATCCCCCATCCTAGGGAAAAGAAACCTACCATTAACCCTATCTATACCCCTCGTTATTTTATAAACTTCTATAAATTCACCTCTCAACCTCCTATGCTCCAGTGAAAAAAGTCCCAGCCTATCCAGCTTTTCTTTATAACTCAAACCTTCCATACCCAGCAACATTCTGGTAAATCTCTTCTGAACCCTCTCCAGCTTAATAATATCCTTCCTATAACTGGGCGACCAGAATTGGACACAGCACTCCAGAACAGGCCTCACCAATGTCCTGTACAACCTCAATATGACTTCACAACTCCTATACTCAAAGGACTAAGCAATGAAGGCAAGCGTGCTAAATGCCTTTTTAACTACCCTGTCTACAGGTGACACAAACTTTAAAGTATTATGTAGACGAACCGTTAGGTCCATCTGTTCTACAACATTACCCAAGGCCCTACCATTAATTGTATAAGCCCTACCCTGGTTGTTGTACCAAAATGAAATATCCTGCATTTATCCAGATTGAATTCCATCTACCATTTTTCAGCCCATTGAACAGTTTGATCGCGATCCCTTTGTAATCTTAGAAAACCTTCTTCACCGTCTGCTCTGCTACCAATTTTGGCGTCATCTACCAACTTACTAACCATGCCTTCTATATTCTCATCCAAGTCATTTATATAAATGACAAACAAAAGAGGACTCCGAACTGATCCCTGTGGAACGCTGTTGGTCACAGGTCTTCAGTCTGAAAAACAACCCTCCTCCACACTCTGTCTCCTGCTGTTAAGCCAATTATGTATCCAATTGGCAAACTCCTTCTGAATCCCATATGACCTAAATTTACAAATTAGTCTACCATGCAGAACCCTGCCAAAGGCTCTACTGAAGTCCAAGTAAAAATGTCTACTGCTCTGCCATCATCAATCTTTTTGGTGACTTCCTCAAAAAAATTGAATCAAGTTTGTGAGACATGACTTTCCTCGCACAAAGCCATGCTGAGTCCAAGTTGAAGTGGGTGGTATTTCCATGTATCTACTGCCGTTGTCTTTTTAAGTGTGAATTTGGGGATTGGGAAGGTGCTTTCAAAGGAGCCAAGGTAAAATGCTCCAGTGCAGCTTGTAAATGGTACATAATGCCCATCCCGATGTACCAGTGGAGGAGGGAGTGAGTATTGAAGGTGGTGAACAGGGGTGTGCCAAACAAGTGGACAGCTTTGTCCTGGATAGTGTCAAGCGTCAAGCTTCTTGTATTGTTGGAGCTGAATGCAGCCAGGCAAGTTGAGAGTATTTCATTATATGCTTGCATTGGGTCTTGCAGATGGCAGACAGGCTGTATCAAGGCAGAAGGTGAGTTACCCACTAGATGATTCCCAGCCTGTGATCTGCTCTTGTAACCACCTTTCCTAAGCCATATCAGGTGATCGGAGTTTCAAATTTGGTGCGTTTTACTACTTCATGTAATCTCTGTAATAATAAAGCATGATATAAATGCCAGTTGCAAGTTTTTTTGGGCTGCTTTGTTTCACAAGTGTAAATACTGTATTAGAAAAATCTGTCACCTTCTATATGCTTTTGAAAGCTATTATTTAGGAAGAATGGATGACAGAGGATCAGAAAAGACCATTTGGTCCATATGATTGGTCTCAGGCTTTACTATAAACATCCAAATAATTTTCCCACGGCTCAATTCCAAAAACCACTGCGTGAAGTTATGTCTGATTTTTCTATACATCTTCCTCTCCGCTCCTTGTTGTCACTGTTGACTCGTGAATCCAAGGTAGTAGTTTATTTGAGCTCATGTTAATCATATCAATTTTCAGTCTTATCTTCTACTTTAACCAAAATTAGTGCCTGCAGTTTCTTCTTATAGCTTAAATGTCCTATTGCCAAGTGTCAAACAGATGGTTTATTGTTTACTTTTCCCTTCAAATGCTTTGTTTCCTTTTCTTCCTGCAAAATGATAACCAAAACTCCAAATTGTATTCTAGATGGAGCTAAACCTCACCTTGCTAAGAGCAAAATACTTGTTTCACTCCACCTGCGTATTTTAGAATTCTATCGACAGTTGCATTTGAAGTATACAAATCATACATTACAGGTTGCACTAAAACTAGCAGATGGCAGATCCTTATATTACAAACAGAGATCATCAGCTGCACAAAAGTGCACAAAGTAACATTGACTAGTCAAAAATATATTTCATTCACATGGAAGGAGATCGATTTCTCTTAACACTGGTTCTGAATAAACAGATGACATTACCTCACATAAATTTAGTGCAGGACATGTCTGTAGGAATTGGATGTTTGACAGCTTGAATTCAAGCAAATGTGTAATCTTGACTGACTCTGTATCCTCGTCAGTCAGTCTGTGCCAAGATGAATTTTTTAACCTAATAAAAGATTGAGCATTTATGGAATTACTAGAAAAAGAATCTGTCCTGTGCACATCACAGTGTTGACTCCTACAGAGTCCATACATTCTACTGCAGGTGCTCTTCTTTGGTCAGTATGATCGACTGCAATATTACAACAATAATTTCTATCCATATGGCACTTTTAACAAAGAAGAAAATTCCAAAAGGTACTTCAATCAGACAGTTAGAAGGAAAGAAATGAAGGCTGAGTTAAAGGAGAACATACAAATGACGATCAAACGTTTGAACAAAGATGTGGATTTTAGACAAGGTCTTTAAAAAAAAAAGTATATTGAGTTAGAAAGATTTATCTCGCAAATTTCAGAGCATGGAGCATAGTTGACAAAAGGCACAGCTTCAAATCATAGGGCTGAGGAAGCAAGGTTGCAGAGTCAAAGGGATATAAAGGCATTGGATGGGTTTCCAGTGCTGGAGAAATTTATACCTTGAGAATTTTCATTGTTGTCAAGTGAAATAATTAGTGTAATGATTCTTACCGACCTCTGAAATGACCACTTCATAAGTAAGTATCAATGGGTTAACACAACATGATCTTTAGAATTAGATTTTATTGTCACATGTAGACTACCCATTGAGAGTGAAATGATTAAGATGTAAAGAATATTAAATATTGAAATGAATAATCTGATATTCACTGATGATCAAGCTTAACATTTAGTTTAAAAATACATGGAAATAAAGCGACAACCAACCAGATCAATGTGCAAAAGGTACAGTACTAATTTAAAGAGTGTCTTGTAATAGGGATGTTGACCTACTATATTTTTATATGTAAATATTATATGCACACGTCTAGACACACAACCAGGTCTATAATTTATTTATAAAGGTAACATTAACAATACAAGCCTATATCTAAGTGGTAAATATACATTGTGATTTTCCAACTTGACAATACTTCTTCAACAAATTAGAAATGCATCGAATTTTAAAGACCACTATGGTTAAATTGTCAGTTCAAATATAAAATAACACAATAGCAAGGTTATTTGCACTGTCTTCAGTTCTACATTCTATTACACCTGACCGAATATGGCAAAGTCAAATTTTACGTAAATTTGAAATTTATTGTGGTGAGGGTTGATGCTGTGCAATATAATTGAAATGACACAGAAACAACAATTAATAAAGTGAACATGTTTACATTTCTAATTGATCTCATTAAGAAAATACAATGATACAAGTAACGGGATGGACAGAAACGGCAAAAAAAATTGAAATCTCAAAATCCTAAATGAAACACAGTTTAACGTACATGTCTAAAAGAACTCAAAACAGATCATAGCACATTCTTCTGTGAAGTCTTTCAATTTGCCCCCTCACCAATTTCAGCCTTGTTCAGTACTACCAGGTAATTTGTGCAACCCAAACCAGAGGGGGAATCTGTTACTAAAGCAAAATAACACAAATGCTGGCAATTTGAAATAGAAACAAAAAAATACCGGAAATACTCAGCAGCTAGGTAGCATTGTGTTAAAAAATGAATTTAATATTTCAGGCCAGCGACGTTTTATTGGTTCTGATTTCCAACAGTGTTTCTTTTACAAGAAGGGTAACTGTCTCAGGTTTGGCTGTTGACTTCACTTTGGCTTAGTCCTCAAAAACTAAGGGAGTAACAGACCAACCTTTTTCTTTACATTGCAGGGAAGTCGCATACCAGGCCATCCAAATCCAATATTTTAATTGAATGGGCTACATAAATCCATACCATTCAGGGACATTAAATCAGTTTAGCTTTAAAGATGCACCACCAATTAAAAAAAACTAGCAACAAATCTCAGCATAACTTTTTCAGATATGTGTAATATCTGAACTGACAACATAGTTACTTGCACTTGCATCTAAATATAGCTCATTTGCTTTATTAAGCAGTCTGTCAAGTATTCTAGCTAGCAGAAACTACTTTGAAAATGAAGATCCAATATGAAGTTTGATTTGTTGATACAGCTGAAGATGGAGATTAGTTCTTTGCAGGGTGCTGACTGATCCTACAAATCAACTCTACCTGTATGTTTTGTTCCATAACTTACTATCTTTTCTCATGCTCCCTCAGCCTATATCACTTGCAATGACTCAAGTCAGACTTTTAATGTTTGTAGATCAAGTGTTCGGTGTTTAGACAAAATAGCACACAAAACACAGAGTATAGGAACAGGACTCAGCTGAATTCATAAACCATTCAAGTTGTATTTTTATGGTTCAGAGTTTCCCTATCTGCTTGACGGTCCCTTATCTTCACCGTAAGCAGTCATTATTCTTGACTTGTGCAAAAGTAGTTTTAAAGTCTTACGTCAATCTGCATGTTAAGGAAAGCTATATCATAAATACCTGTTGTGCTTAACAGGGGATTTTTCTCTGTGCAAAAATTGAATTTCTCAGAATTTCTTTGTGTGCAGAAATTATTTCTAATTTCTGATGTTGATCCTTAAATAGTTAGTTTTAGTTCAGCAATACACAAAGATGGCTATAAGCTTTCTAAAAGTTTTAACCTTTTCTCCCATTCTGTTCAGTGAATGATTTACACTTCCATCTCACTTACCGTGTTGCTGGCTGTTATCTATACTCTGATGCTCTGTGTACCAGGTAGACAGCCCTCTGTGCTCGATCCCCACCAACTCTGGGCACCTTGTACTCTCTCAGCGCCATAGGAGCAATTGCCAGCACTGAAAATTTACAGACAGAATTAATTAGAAAGCTAAGTTACTTGACAATGTAGAATGTAAAGCACTTGGTCAAAGACTTGCAGTTGACCTCCACAGAAGTTAGTACTTTATTCCAATACTCGCTATCAGCAACTCTCCCCACTCTGTCATTTTATTCCTGATTCATGTTCATTAAAGCTCTCTATTAGATTCTTCAATAACATAATTTTAAATAGTGATAACTGTAAACCACCATGATAGATTTGCATCAGTTGAAATTCATCCACATTGTATACAGAGCTGGTGTGACACCATATAAACAGAACTCAGGAGCAACACTGAGTCCCGTCCCAATTAGGTACTTCACAACAAGATATCTATCACCTATCCGTCTCAAAATTTATATCTAGAGGATTATTTCTACAAGAGAAATGCAAACCTGTAACTGGCAATGTAAGGACCATACTGATTAACGGCTTCCACTTGTAGAGTTTACTGAAACCGAGGAAGGATCTGAAGAAGGGTCATACTGTACTCGAAATTTTAACTCCGATTCTCTCACCATAGATGCTGTCAGACTTGCAGGGTACTATGCTTTCATTAACGAAGTTTCCACATTGGTTTCTTCCTGGAATTTCATATTTGAAATTCATGAAGATTTTTCTACCGATATTTTGATCTCCCCCAACTTTATTTACAATATAGAAGTAATTCATAAATTCTAATGCACATGAAACTGTTCTAAAATATCCTGAATTGTACCAAAATATTGGTTTCAGTGATGCAAACTACTGTCCAGCTCATAAGTCATTAGATGTGAAGATGAGCTTTACTCCTTGGATTAACTGGTAAATTAAAATAGTCATTTCCATAAACTTCAGGATTATATGAACTTCTGTCCTGAAAACTGATCTTGACGAAAAAACAGACAAGAATGAAAAATGGCCCATTCAGTTCTTCAGAGTCACTGTCTATTGTATAGGTTCATTGAAAGTCATAAAATTGAATGGAGCAGGTAAATTATGGAAACTAAGTGATTGGAAAGAAAAAATACTCACATTCCATAGAACCTAAAACTATAATATTCAGCAAACCTCCAAACAAAAAAGTATCTGAAATAATCAATAGCCTGCCTCCTTACAATAAACTTCTCATTCTGTTGATAAGCAGAACATGCACTGCACCCGTAGACATCAGCTCTGAAACAGAAGTCAAGCTTAACCCTGTCAGCATTTTAAACTTTTTCCCCAGAAACTAAAAGGGCAAACATCTCAGAGAAACTCACAATTCTACGTTATTTCAAAGGTACAGACTTAATGACTCTGTCTGAGCTATAAGATCAGAAAGCTTCTAGGTTCAATCTCTAACCTAGTGCTTCCCAAAAAGTTTTCTCTGCCCACAGTGAATCCCACTTAGGCTTGCAAAGTGTTGAGAACCCTAAGTGAGACTTGTGGATACAGAAAGACTTGCTAAAGTGAAGGGGAGGGGTCATATATAAATGAAATCACAATTATGACTCGCTTAGACCTCTGTGGCAGTCATTGTTGCTGGGGAGTTCACATTTTGGGAAACCGTTCTCTGGTCTGCTGCAGGTTAGCTCGCAGCAACAGTGCTGAATTTGGCCACCATTTCACAGAAAATGAAGAAGGGTCTAGGCCCGAAACTTCAGCCTTCCTGCTCCTCTGATGCTGCTTGGCCTGCTGTGTTCATCCAGCTCTACATCTTGTTATCTCAGATTCTCCAGCATCTGCAGTTCCTACTATCTCTGCCATAAAACAATTCCTGATTGGGGAATTGTACTCCAGTTGCACAAATCAACACTTTCAAGAGTGGTGCTTTGGAAAGAAGTTGTAAAGTAAAGCAATAATTTATGCAAGTAAGAAAACCAGCAGTATTCCTGAACATACTTAGGACTGCATTCTCACTAAACAACTGTTGCCTAAACTTCGAGATTGGGTAATTGGGATGAACTCGATATCAAAAACAAAAGATTCAGACTTTCTACACTAATTTTGTTTGAAAACTTAAAATTACATACTGTGTTTCATGCCTGTTTCAGGTATCTGGTTGATTAAAAAAAAACTCAGATAGCCAGAAATGGAAGAGATTCCAACACATAGCATATTTATGCTAATGCATCAATATCAGTAAGGTTTATAATCTGCACCATTCTGTTTACAGACTTTTTGCGCAGTGTCAGTGTTGCGTTTATAATCAGAGTCTAGGCTTTCAATCAAGGAAACACTGACCTTTGACAATCTCAAGTTCAATGTGTGAAACAGAAATGGGGATAAATTATGTATTAAGATTGACAAACAATGGAGTCAATGATTAGACTTTAAAGAGAATATTAAATCAATATAGATTTCAAACTGAACAAACTTAACCACAAAGATTAAATTCTGTGATGGATATACTTATAATTGTTTGGTCAATAGTTGCATTCCTCCAGTTTTTCATATCAGTTGAAAATTACATTAGGACACAAAGGAGAAAAACAGAACTTTAGTGGCTCCTATAAATTTGAAATAGGCAGACTAAAATAACATATTTGGGAGTAGTTCGTAGTTGCATTACTACACTGTTATAATTCTCAATCTCTTTTCTGCCATTCCCACTATTGACCCTGGAGGAAAACAAAAAGTACCTTTTCCAAGTTGTACAGTATAACAGAAGGTGCATGTTTATTTCTCGTTCTTTCTATACGGTTCATAGATTTAATTACTAGATCTGTGAAATGGCAGTTATTTGGCAGTTTTTAGGCAGTTTTTAAATGCCTGGCAAGTTCATAGAATTTCACATCAGCAGTAGTACAAACAGAATTACAAATTCAGAAAGGAGGAGAAATAATCAGAAGTCAAAAGTATCACATTTATTAATAAGTAGCACTTGTATTAAAGAGGCTCACATCTCCATTTTAAGCAGTACTCCTTAGCTCCCTTTCTTGCCTGCAAAATGGGTAAATAAACTAATGAGCTGTTCACTAGCCTCCATTACTTTTAAATTGTCTTCTGGGCAAATCATCACCCAGAGTCGCTCCTTTAGAAGATGTGGAAAAGGCTCCATTATAAGGATATAACAAAAACTGAGGACGAATCACAATGGGAATTACAACATCAACCAAATCACGTCACATTCCTGCTGCTTTGGTATTATCCAACACCACATGCTGTGTTGGATAACACTGCTGAAAAGGAAAATTGGTGCTTTTGGCTCAATGGTGCATTTATCACCACTGCTCATCACACAGTGAATTCTATTTGTATGAAGCTGTTGTTAAAAAGGACATGCTCACAAGGCGGCTGTCATAGGTCTCCTCTGGTAATGAAGTAACAACTATATGCAGAGTCAAAAATGGATAGACCTCCTTAACTATATTGCAACAAAGACAGATTGAAAGGATCCTGAATACAAAGGGAGAAAATAATCACCAAAGCTAAAATCACAGGTGTTTTGAACTACCCAGAAGAATTTTAAAGCAAGTCAAAAGTCCAGTTCTACTGCTGAAATAACAAAATTAAAAACTGTAAACAAAGTAAAAGGACAGGATGGGTGCTTGCTACGCCTCAAATGCTATTAGATCTCGGCTCCCAAGTCTGTCATCAGATTCACTGCTACACACATCTTAGAACAATTGCATGTGTAAATCTTGGCAATGGACTGCAACACAATAGGAAGAGTCCAGCCAGTTGATGAGAAGTTTTCAATAGAACTTCCTTTTATATCAGACAGTATGACTGCCAAACGGCTCCAAACTCCACAATTTTTTCAGTATTCTTAATCCCAACGCACAGCAAGATTTTGACTTTCAATACAGAACAAGGACATTTTAAAAGGATGTCGGTGAACCTTACCTTGAACTTATTGTTCTCTGATCTCTTGCACAATAGAGGCACCGTGGCCTCCATGTCTGCAGCCTCATCAAAATGGAAATATTAGAGGAGTTTAAAAATAGTTTTCTTTTATAAAATGTGTTGTCTAAATATTTGTATATTAATCAGGAAAAACGGGATGTCAGAGCCCTAATTCAGTGTAGCTTTCAGCAAGTTGGTTCCAATAGACAAAAAGAAATAATAAGTTAAGCCGAGACATTTTGTCCATACCTCAAAATACTGCGACTGCTCACAGATATGAGAGCAATAGTATCTCACCCTATCTAAAAATGCACTCCTTTGTCACAAATGCAAACTCTCAAGAACAAAAATCTATCAGCTTTGTGCTTTTCTTAATTTAAGTAGTCACACTGTGGAACTGAATTTGTTCACTGCCATTGCACAGGGAAATGCAGTGCTGCAAGTATTCAATAATTTGACAATTTCCTTACATAGTTGGTATTGCATTTCTTTTGGTGTATAAAAAGGCAAAAACATCTTTAGTTGCTTGCCTGGGCTCATGTTTGAGCTGAGGGCACTGCTGCACCAAATGGCAAAGAGTAAAATCTTAAGAATCTTAATTACCTAAAAATTGCAATTATATACTGATAATGAGATAGCACAGGTCTTATGATAACAGAAAATGCTTACACACACCACCATTTTGCTTTACTAAAATTGCAACATTACAGAGCAACTTTCTTTCCCCATTTGTATAGGTTATCCATCAAAGAACAGATTATAATTCAACTGTGCTGCAAAAAAGAAATTATGTGATTCCACAAGAACATTAAGTGTGTCATGAAAAACAATCAGAATTTTCAAACAGACTGTCACATTGTAAGCAAAATGGCTTCAATGGTTGTGGATTAATGGCAGGGGTGAGACATAGCAAATGGCAGACTATGTGGTAACAAGGCCTGGTGTGTGGGGTAGGGGGCTGGGACATGGGAGAGTTTAGGCCCTAAAATTACTGAACGCAATATGGAGTCCGGAGGGCTGTAGGGTCCCCATTACCTATAGGGTAACCAGGCCTTGTTACCACATAGCCTGCATTACATACCCACTATTGTTAGCCACTAACAGTCCCCATTAACAAGTATTCACCCTCCCAGCCTGATCATTAGCAACTCCTTTGTCTGTCCAACT